TATCAATTTGATTAATTGCTTATTCAATTAGAAGGACAAGTTGCACTGCCCCAATAGCTCTCGGCCCCGCGTGTGCTGAGAGAGAAAGCTGTGCGAACTGACAAGCTTTGCCTCCATCCTGGGTACCATAAGTATCCCTCATATCAGTTGACGAAGCGTTGGCAGCAGCATGAGCAAACCTCTGAAAAAAGTTGAGAGAAAAGTTGCACCAATTTTTTAATCACTCCAATTCACCTGCCTTATAATGTCGTTACCGTATGCTACCTATTCGTGTATATATATATGTTTCTGCCAGTTGTGTAAAACATCCAACAACTAGATGCTGTGAATGCCAAATTCCATTGGGCTGCCCCCCTCCCAACATTTACTTCTGTATTCGCTCTATACAGCTGCCCGTCTCCTTGTCGTCATTGATGTCAAGCATGACTTCACCGTATGCTGTCGACACCCAAATATCTAGAAGTTGCACACGGGGATATTTCGACAAGATTGCTATCATGATGGAACTTGTACAACAGAGATGGTGAAGAGCGATGTGCTTGTCAAGTGGCTTCTTTAACTGCCTGCATGGTGCCATCTAACGACAGCGTTTACTGCTCATACGTGGATGCATCATAACTTGCTCTGTCACAGTTACATTTTGCGACAAGAAAACATTTGTTTAAAAAAAGACCTTGATATAACTTGAGATTGGCAAAATGCTGAGGGTAAAACCGTAAATGCCTTAGTTGTTTTAATAGTAAGTAAATACTAAATTTATAGTAAAGTAATAGTTAATATAAACCTAATTTTCCTTTCAAAATAAAAATAAGCGTTTCTATTTTTGACAATAATAAATAAAATTGTAATTATTGGCACATACAGCAATGATAAGAAAAACGCGTACTGAGTTGATCTTATTAGAATTTAATAAGATTAATCAGTACGCGTTTCTCTTATCGCTTGCTGCGCTGCTGCCAGCCCCCACTATGGTACAGTTAACTTACGTACTCTGCAAGACTAGACCAGCCAGAGTAATATCCATGCTATCCACGCAAGTGTCGTATTAAAATGTAATCAAGTCACCCATGCTGTGTGCGACATGCACACGGACCGGGCGGTAACGATACCTTTTGGCTATCGTAAGCTGCCTGTTGTGCTGCTTTTCGTTATCTCTTCGCAGTGATGGCGCGCAAATAATCGATGCTTTTGCGGCGCCCGGTACTGCATGAGAGACAAGCTGCTGTGACATTCTCTAGCAGGAAAATTTATAGAATCCAATCGTGATGCGATCATCAGAGAGCATGTTTTCGATAGATGCTGGAAACAAGGCAGCCTTGTGATTCGGTCGGCGTATCCCGACGAAGGCTCCCGAATCATGCATTATGGCGACAGCACGCCCAGGAAAATCTCGATCACGGCATCGTTTCAAAGGCTTCCGTGTCTGCGTGCTTGTGCGTGCAAGGCTGCGGCTCGTTGTATGTTGATGCCGCGAACGATCGCGTCGCGTGATGCGACACAATGCGGCCACGATTCTGCCACTGGCGCGCATCACAGCCCGTGTATAAGCGTGCCACTAATGCATGCTCACGCACGCACACGCACGCACACACACACACACACACCTACCTAGAAACAACCTTCTTCTAACGCGCCGTCTCTAAGTGTTCGCACTAATCATTTTACGTGTGCGGCTAGATGTAATGTTTGCCATTCCCCTGGGGGGAGAACACGCTAGCAGCTCGTGTAACCAGCATGTAACTGATGGCAGCCAGAGCAGTCTGTGCTACAGCTCGTGGCTTTTGGCACTCTCTAACTCACTTGCCCACCTGAAGCATATACTATACATATACATATACTATACATATACATATATACTATACATATACATATATACTATACTAATAATCTGTCAATTGTGATTATAGTGTGATATCAAACTAATGTGCTAGACACTGTTAGAATCTGGATTGTTCGGAGACACATACCAATCAACGATCAACTAGAAGATCAACAGATCTATTTTACACTTGCAACTTCCAAAATGACTATAATGGGGGGGGGGGGAATCTCACCAAGATAGCGAAGATAGCACAGCTATGATTTAACAATACAGGGAATTTATACATGCAGGTGACATATTTGGTACATTGCTCGAGCTCGAATCACCGGTAAACAATTCATATTTCTGCTAAACATATACCCTATGCATGCATGTGCTATGCCTACTAGTAATACTATGATGTAGTACTACGCATAAAATTAACGACGCAATATCACATAGGTGGTGCTGCCGGATTTAGGTCAGTTAGGAATACTGTCCTGTCACCTATTTTCTGCTCGGTTGGCCCTCTGGTGTATACTGCGCTTTGACACTGTCCAAGCCAACACCAACAGTCATTCACTAATAAACATCATCAGACTGCACAAGGTTTATTCTGAGGGAAAATTAGACAACGGAGGTAATGGCCAGTTTGGGAGAGAAAAAAAACCACATGATGGATGCATGGGTGTGCCATAGAAAAGTGTAGGCCCCGGGTCACATGACTCAATAAACGCGCGTCATCGTAACATTGCAATCTAAATATGCCAGAAGCACGTGATGATCTATTTATTTTTGGGTTGACACTATTTTGACAACGGCGGGTAAATACAGGAACATTTTCACAACGGCGATGTTAAATTTGACAAATCTAGAAACCCTGCTGCAGACAAATCTAGAATATCATTGACTAGTAGTAAAACTTCCAGTACAGCCACACAAGTGAAAGTTGTTGGCTACTATAGAGATGTGTGCAGAAGTGGTTAGGTCTGGTTAACAGGGGTGTATCCAGGATTTTTTCTGGGTGGGTCGTGATAATAATTTTTTGGACCTTTTCACAATAAAATAACAGCAAGATGTGATTAAAATGTCAATACAATTTAATTGAAACAAAAAAATACACAAAACCAATCATTTCAGTGTCTCTTCTAGTCAGAGTCCTTGGACTTCAGGTCTTTGGACTCATTGCTGGTACCTGATCAATTATGCTTTTTCATTTATGTTTTTTCATTATGTTTATTCATTTATCTTTAGAAAAAATATGGACCTTTTGAAATTTTGGGGGGGTCGTACGACCCTCACGACCCCCCCCCCTGCATACATCCCTGGTTAATACTATGTGTGCTTATTCCCATTTATTCATGGAGCGTGCAATGACAAAGCAACCACTGATGTAATCTGCTAGCACATCAGGATA